TCTCAGATTTATATATATAAACGCACCTGGAACTCACTCAGCAGTCTCTGACATTGATCCTTGAGCGAGCTTGCCCGAAGCACACCACAGAGATATGCGACAACGACACGCGCGCGCACACTGCGCACTGCTCAATATAAGAGGGAAGATGTGAGTGTAATGGGGCTGTGCATAGGAGTAATGTAGGCGTATGAGCATAAACAGGTGCGAGTGTGCCGGTTCCCAAGTAGTAATTCTGGATATGAAATTCAAACGACTGTGCCTCTGCGTACAGAAGGAGTGCGAAGCGTGTTTCTATGATTGGATTGAGTGACGAGCCAATTAGTATCCCATCTTCTGTTGATACGCACACAGGGAGGGAAAGCTAAGCGACGCGATTGGCTGTACAATCTAAACTTAAACTTACCTTCAGCAGCGGTCGTGTCAGCGCTCTTCGCTTCATTGGGCTGTAGTGCCAGCATCTTCACATACAACGGTTGTACTAGAGTCCTAGATTTTCGTGCATACAGAGTTCAACGTACTTAGAGTGGCATTTTCAAAAACTCAGCCACGAAGCAATGCATCGATTTGTGGATATGTGACATGACTGGTGGGCTACCTAGAATGTATCGAATTCGGATGCACACACACTTTTTCTGAAGCAACTCCATATTCGAGAACGTTGTAGAAAACGTGGAGGTCCTTCAATGTGTGAAGCAGGATATATATGACACTGTGATCGATACATGGAGGATTCACAACATTGGATGGCGGCTCTTGAAGTAAACGGCGAGATATACAAGTCATGGACAAACAGAGTGACAGGGAACAACATAAACGATGTATTTCAATGCAGACTTACAATGACAACGTACATGATTCTAACGATTATTTCCAACAAATTGGAGTGGTCTAGAAAAATTGAACACCGGCCATCGCACAACCGCATGGTCAAACAGACAAATACTAACCTACCGCCACCATCCGCTTGCCACATTGAAAAACTGGACCATACAGTATACCTTGTGTACACCTCACCAAAGGTGACGCATGTCAGAAAAATGAGACGCGAAAGGGCAAATGTCGCACTTTCATTTTCCAGCGGACACACACTGACCATCGACACAAGGTTGCTCAGCCATTCATCTTTCATCCAATAGAACGCAGGCCAATTTCTGAGATGAAGGAAAACACAATTAGATACGAAACAGGGAGTAGTAGATGAGTGTCAAAATCCCACTATATGCTCAATTTCAAGGCAGGTAAATGTAAAGTGAAATTCGTTGCCTAGAAAATATGCGTGACATAGCTAAACAGGTACTATACCGAAGAGGCGATAATCACTTTTAACAAGTGACACTCGAAGATTAAAAAGTATTTGAAGTACGGTTAAGTGTGTGTAAAACACACACTAACACACACATACACTCATATATATATAC